TTTCTACAAACATCAGTATGAAAGAAATTACAACTGTTTTGAAAAGAAGGAAAACAATAATGTAGAAATGTAGAAGAGGACTCCAGCAGGACTACTTTGGGTCTCCAAACTGTGAACCGATAACCAATCTCTCAATCAGCCACTACCTGCTCCAAAATCTGCACAGAAAGTGCAGTATAAATACAACCGACCTCATGTACTGGTAAGTGTCGAGCCTAACCTCAACGAGGCTATGGGCAGGCAATTACAATATAACCCACGCATACAGTACATAATAAAGCAGAAAGAAGAACGGAACAAAATAAAATAGTAACTTGCAAGGAATGAATACATAACTTCAGTATCTCATCAGTACCCAACTATAACCAATCCTTATGTGAAAGGCAAAAGTACAGAATAACTTCACAGTAGAAGAAAGATACATAAACACATAAACTGATGCGGTGCGCATCCCAATCCCACCATATAATCAATATCAATATGAACATTCACCCTTATTACTCCATATCAATCCACCCTTATTCCTCCTGTTGCAGCGTCCAACCTGATCCCACCGTACAATAGTAATTCACCTTTATTTCGCCTCAATATACCACCCTTATTACTCATGTTGCGCCGCACAACCCGATCCCACCATATAATAACATTTTACCCTTATTCCTCCTGTTGCGACGTGTAACCTGATCCCACCATATCAGTACCAATCACACAATAAAAACAGAAATTTTACGATTTAGCTCAAAACTCTTCACAATATTTAAACCTCAAACTAAAGCAAATGGAAAGCTATACAATTATGAAACTTCACTCAAATTGTACTACTCAACGGAACCAATCCAAAATATACCATAAAGCACCGATAACCGACTTGAGCCAATAATGTGAGTCAATGAAACTACGAGATAGCTATACCTTCAATAATGAAAAATAATATCTAATAAGTAGCAATTAAGTATGGAAATACCAGTGAAACATGTAGCAGTTAAGGCAGGAAGCAACATATTATGAACGGAAAGAAAACAAGCAAAACAGATAGATTGGGCGCATAGGTACTCGTCACCTCACCTATACGCCACACACATGGATTTTCACATAGCAATTACGTCGGGGATCCCTAATCCCTGGAGTCAAAGTTAGACACAACACTTACCTCAATCCAACGACCAACTCAAAGCTTAATTACCGCTTTTCCTCTAGTTTCCACCTCCGAACCACCCGTATCTAGTCATAATTAACTTAATAACATCAATTATCGCTAAAGAAATCAATTCCAATACGTAATTATAAGTTTCCCAATATTTCCCCCAAAAAGTCAAAAATCGACCCTGGGCCCGCTTGGTCAAAACCCGAAATTCGGACCAAAACTCGATTATCATTCACCCCCGAGCCCAAATATACAATTAATTTTGGAATCCGACCTCAATTTGAGATCTAAATCCCCAAATTTCGAAATCTCCAATTTCTACCCAAAAATCCCCAATTCCACCATGAAAACCTTAGAATCTAGGTTGAAATCTTGGGAAAAGAGGCAACAGAAAAAAACTAGTTAAGAATCACTTACTTATGATTTGGGGAAGAAAAAGTCTTTGGAAAATCGCCACTTGTGTTTTAGGTTTTGAAAAATTGAAGAATGAACGAAAAATCCCGTCCAAAATTATTTTTGACCGGTTGCAGGTATCGCATTTGCGACCATTTGCGAACCAGGCAAATGCGAACTTTACCTCGCAAATGCGAAGACTGACCTGAACCTGCTAACATCGCAAATGCGAACAATTATTCGCAAATGTGGCCAGTGCTGATTGCAATTGCGATCCTGAGCTTCGCAATTGCGAAGGTCTCCTCCCAGCCCCATTGCTCGCAAATGCGAGGCTCACATTTGCGAGATGCGAAATCAGCAGACCTGAAGAATACCAGCAAAATTTTCTAAGTTCAAATCACTCTGTAGCCTATCCGAAACTCACCCGAGCCTTCGAGGCTCCAAACCAAACATGCACACAAGTCTTAAAACATCATACGAACTTGCTCGTGCGATCAAATCGCCAAAATAACATCTTGAACTACATATTTAACACCAAAACACATGAAATTCCTATTTTCACAACCGGACGTCCGAATCACGTCAAATCAGTTCCGTTTCTCACCAAATTTCACAGATAAGGTATAAATATTATTTTGGAACTGTACGGGCTCTGGAACCAAAATACGGACCCGATACCAACAAGATCAAACATTAACCAAATTCTTAAAACCATTTGATTTTCAGTCTAACAAATTTCATCAAAAATTCATTTATCAGGCTAGGGACCTCGGAATTTGATTTCGGACATACACCCAGGTTCCATATTTTACTACGGACCCACCGATACCGTCAAAATATATGGGTCCAGGTCTGTTTACTCAAAATGTTGACCGAAGTCAACTAAAATCAACTTTTTAGGCTAAAATTATTATTTCATCAATTTTCCACATAAAAGCTTTTCGAAAACGTGTTTGGACTGCGCACGCAAATCGAGAAAAAATAAAATTAGATTTTGAAGGCCGTTCTAAAACATAAGATGACCTTTTCGGTCATCACATAGTAAGAGGAGGGTTTTCATTTCAGTTGTTCAGCAATTTGGAGGATCATATTGGTACACCATACACGTTAGGGCCGTACATTCAATTGACATTGTAACAACATTATGGATAGTGGATACCAAGCACTTTTTTGTTTATTGTTAAATATATTGTTGCATCTGTTTAGCCAAAAGGTACCAAAAACAGAAAGGGAATAACTCTTGCCACTTAAGTTATGCCTAATATTATCATTCTTACTTTCACTTTCTATCCGAGGAAAAAGGGTTGTGGATGTGTTCGTTGTCAAGGTAAATATTTTTCTATTTTTATCTTTCAAGATATTGCATATAAAAAGAAAGATAGTCAGTCCTCTTGGGCGGTCAAAAATTTCATGTTAAAAAAAGGACCAAGGGGGCTTCTATCATAAAAGAGGAGTAGGAGCTAGTTTCAGGGGCAGAAATGAATGATTACGAGATGGACAATGAGACAAAGGAGAGCACTTAGACAATTCACATTGAGTATGCTCATAGGAATTCTTCAAGGCGTATTACGGTTTTCACCGAAGGGTGGATCGAAGCGATTGCAGTAGTATTGATATTTTGTTGAAACTCCCCCATTGGTCCAAACAGCTTTTTTCATACTTACATTATCAGCATTTTCCACCTAATTGCAGCCTATGCAGAATAAACAAAGCAAAGGAAGTGATCTATCTTGTTCACAGCTTTTAATTTACAGAACCATATGTAGTTAAACGTGTGATCTTTAACAAAAAAATCAATTCAACAAGAATAAAAAAGTTACATGTATAAAGATACAGGGAAAACAAGTGTACAAGGAAAGATCTCAAGGGAAACAAATGAATGGATAACAGTATGATTCTATATGAACCTTTTAACTGAGAAGTCAATTTGCCAACTCAATAAAGCTTTTGAATGAGAAACCAAACTGATACTGCTATCTTCAATGTTCAGACTGTCACTTAATCTGCTAGCTCACCCAAACTAGTCGGCTATATGAATCCTTTATATCCATTCTACTCTAGTGGGATGTATTTCATTTCAATACTCAATAATTTATTTTTTAAAAAGAAATTAAGGATTCTCTCGACGTTATCTACAAAAAAATGCAAGGGGTCCCTCAAACTAGAGGTTCTTTAACTCCCACTATAATTCTCTACTAACATACAAATCTACGACGAAACATAAAATTCTCCTGGCAAACCTAATGTAAGTTTAATAACAATTACTCTACCTATGCTCGCAAAGTATAGTTGGTCTTAAGTCCCAACGAATAACAAGGGTGGCAGAATGTTGCTAGCCAACGTAAACCCAGTCCGATATGAGGTTCAGACTATTAAGGACGAATTCTTTTCCATATCAAAAGCAAGAAACAGTGCCTTTGCTATATGTTATTCCATGTTGGTTTTACCATCTACTTTAGCTTGTCGAATAAAATGACCTCCTTCTTAAAATGCAAAACTATCATCAAGAAAAGTCAAACTAACATACAACAAAACTGGAGTACTTTATATTAATATTATATTTGATATAACATCTTATCCTGAATTAGTATTATAAGAAGTATCTCAATACATCGACAATAAACTCAATCATCTTCAACATATTTCTTTTAATCTCTGTGAACCTCAACTCCGGTTAAACAAAATGAGAAGTAAGAGTATATAGTGTTCTGATTGTTTCAGCGAAACCAGAAAAAGTAATTCATCTAAAATGCATCACTTACCTGTCATAGCTTGGATAAATGGGCCATTAATCTTGATGAATGGAACATGTTTTATCTTGTGCCAATCTTCTCCGACATCCTTTCTGCATCTTAATCCCAAGTTTGGACAGCCCCATATAGACAGAAACTGAAGCTTGGTTAGCTTTTTCACTGATTCTGGTACAGAACTTAGATTTTCACAGTACCACAGCTCCAATTCTCTAAGAGAAATGAGATCTCCTAGCCATTCTGGGAGCATATACATCTTAGGACAGCTCCATATATGCAGAGTTTGGAGATATTTAAGGTTTTGCATAGTCATCGGCAAGGTTGTCAAGTTTTCACAGTCAGAGAGTGATGCATATTGAAGAAACTGTAAACTTTGTAATCCTTTTTCCAGGCTAATGTTACGACAACCATGAATGGACAAGGACTTCAAAGTTTGAAGTCCACATGAATCGAGCACAGAACTGAGACTGTTACAGTTACTGATGCTTAATGACTCGAGACAAGGAAGACCTTTCAGCTCACTCGAAAGACTTTGAATCTCTGCACAATCTCTAATTTCCACGGACAACAGATTGATATTATTTTTCAGCAACCCTTCAGGTAAGTGTAGAATTTCCAAACATCCACTGATCATAAGATGAGTAAGGGAGGTAATCTTGGCTGCTGCCTCTACTAGTAATTCACTGCTACAATCAGACAATTCTAATGAGTCAAGGGAGGGAAGATCTGGCAATTTATTCAAATAGGGACATGCCACGTAAATTTCTTCAGACAATGAAGAATAGTATGATCTTTATTAACTGACCATCCCAATAGATTGGGCATATTACGGAGGGTCAGTTGCTTCAGTGATGCAAATTGAGTTGCCAAATCCTCTTCACCAGAACTATTGCAGAAATACATTGCGGAATCCATCCCGTCAACAGTGAGAACCTCAAGAAAAGGCAACTTCCCTAGTCGAGGCAGCTCCACACACCTGTGACATTTTAAAAGCCAGATTTCCACAATGTGTACCAAGTACATATTCATCAACCAACTGGGGAAATTTGCACCAATATAACCCTCTATGTGTAACTTGCTCAAATCAGAATTTGGTTGAAGGCTCTCAACAATGCGCTCAACATTTTCTCTTGTGCCCATTTCTTCAACTTGATCCCATATTAACTTTAGAAATCGGATGTGCCTCTTCCCTTTCAAGTTAGCATTTTTGGCACATATCTCGTCGGACAAATTCTCAAGGTTCTTTATCATTAATTCACCATGAAGATCAAGTCTCTGCAACTCGGAAATGTCACTAGCAGCAGCCTTGCTAACAATGTAAACTGGCAATGTTTGCAGGGATCTCATTTTTCCAATGCCACGAGGTAATATGGTTAAGGATGTGCATCCGTATATATCCAGATGTCTAAGGTTCACCAACTTTCTAATTTCTGCAGGAATTTCTATCAGATGGTTGCAATGCTTAAGTATTAAAGCTTCAAGATTAAGGAAGCAACAGATAGACTTTGGCAATGTTCTTAGCAGAGCATGTGAAAGATTGAGGTATCGTAGATGTAATAAAGTACCAACTGACTTAGACAACTTCTTTATCCGACTACCACTGCAATCTAATGCCCGAACAGATTTAAAGCTCAAAAAGAAACTCTTGGATAGTTTCGTGATATTTCTCTGCCCATCCAAAAGAAGAAACGATCGCAGCTTTTGAGCACTCCTCAACATGCCAAGTTTTTTGGGTACCAGCTCACTTCCAAGCATTGATAAGTGGCGTGTGGCCACAGGAATGATAACTTCCTTGCCAAATTCTGTTGTTAAACAATCAACACCACCTACAGATTTGGAAAGATCATGGACAAGATCATGCATGTCACAGTCAACTATATTCCCATCAAAATCTCTTCTCACATTTTGGAAGAAAGAGTGCCACAACAACTCATTGAAATAACCATTCCCAGCTTCTTCAGGTGGCATGCTTTCAGAGGATGGAACAAATCCTTCCGCTATCCATAGGCATATCAAGGTGTTTTTATTTATCCTATAGCCCTTAGGAAATATAGAACAATATGCAAAACATTGTTTCAGATGTGTCGGCAAGTACTCATAACTTAATCTTAGGGCCAAAAGAATTCCAGCTCCGTCTTCATGTCCCATAAGATCCCACATTGCACAATCTCGGATGAAAGACCACTCAGATTTCTGATTCTTCAAGCACATTAAACTTCCAAGGGCCTTTGCCGCTAAAGGAACCCCCCTACATTTCTTGGTGATCTCTTTCCCGAGCTCTTCAAGAGCTAATAATTCTTTTTGCCTATTCTTGTATGCCAGTTCCTGAAACAAGGACCAGCAATCATCATCCGAAAGGCCTTCCAAACGATATGGATTTGCTTTGCCCATCAGTAGCGCAGCCTTCTCATTTCGAGTAGTCACTAACAGCCTACTCCCATCCAAACCATTGTGAACTAAATTCTTTAATCTCTCGTATTTCTCATGATCATCATCCCATACATCATCTAGGACAAGCAAAAATTTCTTGCCCAATATTAACGCGTGGACACGCCGCAGGATCGCCTCCATCTCTACAAGGTTACAACTACTACCAGTGGCATATTCTATGATTGCGTTAAGAAGCCTTTTCACATCAAATCCTTTTGAGACACAAACCCATATTCTTGTATCAAATCTATCTTCTACAACAATATCATTGTAAACCAATTTTGCAACTGTTGTCTTCCCAATTCCTCCAATTCCAACAATGCTAACAACCGGTACATCAGATTCTATAAGTAGCTTGACTATGTTTTCTTTATCCTTATTTCTACCAAAAACCTTTGATTCAATTACATAAGAGTCTGATTGTGGTCTTTCACAAGAAAAACCTCCCTGATAAACGACATCCCTAAAATGGAATTTGGCTCTCTCATTTGCAACCAATTCTAACTTTTCTCCAACTTCTTTCAGTTTCAACTTCATACGGTAACCCAGACAAAGTAAAGTACCATTCAGATAAAGAGAACTCACAGCATAGGAAAAACAATAATGGGTTTCTCGGTCATCAAGAATTACCTTATGGCGGAGCAATTCAGTCAAGTATTCATCCAATAAATCATCTGCTTCATAGACAATGTCTTTGAGCTTCACCAGCCAGTTCTTCAAAGATTTATCTCTCATTTGCCTATCCTCAGCATCTTGTAGTACAGCTTGAATTGTTGATAGTGTGCTCTGCAGATTTATCATCTCCTTCTTTGTACTTCCTAGCTGTCCATTTTTTTGGAAAATTTGGGAAGTTATCTTTTGGAAAGGACTTCCATTAGAGCTGAAAGTACTGCTTCTGCCATGGTTGGTACTGAAAATTGTGGCTGCCTGTGAGAGTATCAACAACAACAAGTAATTTCCTTAGATGAAATACTACTTTTCTTGATCACACTGTAGTGAAGACTATGAGTCAAATAAGCTTCCATGCTTATTACATTGAAATATCTTCTTCTTTTTTTTCAACTACTTGTACTAAAGTTAGTAAAAGAAGACATGTTTTAAACTAATAAACTCCACAATTTGTTAGTGTATACGGTCAAAATCGAGGAGTATGATTTTGGAGTCTTAAATCGGGGTATAGACTCGAGTCCGGGAGACTCGAGGGTAGGGCAAATCCGGCTAAGGGACACCTACCTCGAGAAAGCTGATCAAAGGCCTGACACAGCCTGCGTCGAGGACACGAGGACAGTATAATCTCGAAGTCAATCAAGAAAGAGAGAGAATTTCTCAAGCACGAGTGGATCTAAGCATTAATTATAGGATAAGGGTTGTACAAAATAGTACAGGTCCATACTAGACCGTCACACACCTGTACCAATAGGATTCTTTATCTTTATGAGCAAGGTACTATATTGGAGTTTTCCCCTTCTATATAAAGGGGACCCCAATCATTTTGTAAGAATCAAATTATTTATTGCAATAGAACATTCTTATTCTTCTTGTTTAACGTTCTCTCCAATTATTCTTCAGCTTTATTGCATTTACTTCATTGTTCATACTTTATTACTCTTAGCTGACCTCGAGGCCCCCTACTGTTCCAACAACACTAATTTGGTTCTTTATTTCTTCTTACTTAAGCTCAATATTACTTGTATAATCACGAGTATTAGAATATATCACGTATCTTTAAAACCACAAAATATCTTTAATTGTTAAACTCATTTTTTGAGGCAAACAGTTTGGCGCCCACCGTGAGGCTAAAAATAATAGTGATTATTTTAGTGCTAGTTTTCTGATAACACACGTTATTCTTCACACTTTTTCTTGTCAAAGATTCTTTGAATTCATGTTAAAATATGTCTAGCATACAAATGCACCTATTCATGACAGTGAAGGACTTGGAGAAAACAACGGCATAGGGCTCGGTCCTAAGGGAGTGTCAAACGTGGAGCCAGTTAATATTAGCTCTCACAACGCTCTAAACCCAGAAGCAGGTGCAGACCCCGTAAGGAATGGACGCATGGAAGCCCAGGCTGGAGGTCAGGAAACACGAGGACTGGCAGAAAGAGGAGTCAGTTTCCAGGTGATATTCGAGACGCTACAAGCTCAGCAAGTCGCCATCGCTCAACTTCAGATTCAGAACTGGACTCCTAACACCGCTGAACCGGTAAACACACAGCACAAGCCTGTGCTCGAAAGGCCCGATGAAAGTGGCATGGGGACTGACCCCACAATCATGAAAATGCTCAAGAAACTGACTAAAAGAATCGAGTCAGGAGAAAAAAGTATAGAATACAACGATAAAAAGGTGGAAACTTACAACTCCCGGGGAGACCAAATACTAGGAGCACCTCCAGTTTTGAAGGGACTAGATGCCAAAAAATTCGTACAGAAACCTTTCCCCTCAAGTGCGTCTCTGATGCTCATTCCCAAGAAGTTTCGCATGCCTGATATACCGAAGTACAACGGGACAACGGACCCTAACGAATATATTACTTCGTACACTTGTGGGATCAAGGGAAATGACTTGAATGATGCCGAAATCTAGTCAGTATTATCGAAAACGTTTGGAGAAACATTATCAAAATGAGCTATGATCTGGTATCACAACTTAGCTCCTAACTCTATTGATTCATTTGCTATGATGCCTTCGTAAAAGCACACGCCGGGGCCATAAAAGTGGCCACAAGAAAATCAGACGTATTCAAGATAATGTAGAGGGACGATGAAATGCTAAGGGAGTTCGTGTCCTAGTTTTAGATGGAAAGGATGGAATTACCCCCGGTCTCCAATGACTGGGCGGTTCAGGCCTCCATGCAGCATTTGAATGAAAGGAGCTCGATAGCATCTCGATAGCTAAAACAGAACTTGATCGAGTATCCAGTTGTGACATGGTCGGATGTTCACAATCAGTATCAGTCAAAAATTAGGGTCGAGGATGACCAGTTAGGAGCCCCCTCGGGCTCAGTTCACCCGAACAAATTCGCAGTCAAACCCCCAAGGGATATAGATCGGGGATCACGATTCAACACGGAAAGATATCAACCGTACGTTGAAGATAGAAGGAACATTTCAAGGTGCAATGCACCCCAGAATGATCGTGAATAGACCGAGGCCAGAGCTCCCGGGGATTCGTGGGTAAAATCGGGTCTGACAGGCGCCCGGGGCCAGTGGAGGCCCCCAAGTTATTAGAATACAACTTTAGTGTTGACACCTCAAATATCGTCTCAGCAATTGGCAAAATTAAAGATACTAGATGGCCTAAGCCCATACAGATAGATCCTTCTCAAAGAAACCCCGACTTAATGTGTAAGTACTATGGCACTCACGAGCATAAGACCGAGGATTGCAGACAACTCAGGGAGGAGGTAGCTTGGCTATTTAACGAGGGGCAACTTCATGAATTTCTCAGTGACCAGGCCAAAAACCATTTCTGGGAAAGAGATGCAAATAGGAAGAATGAACTTGAAAAACCCCCAGCATGTTATTCATATGATCATCGGAGGAGCCGACGTCCCATTGGGACCTACATTCAAACACACTAAAGTGTCCATCACAAAGGAAAACGGGGCTCGGAGCTATGTGCTCGAGGATGCCCTATCATGTTGCGACAAGGAAGCGGAAGACGTATCCCATCCTCACAACAACGCCCTGGTAATTTCTATCCTTTTTAATAAAATTCAAGTTAAACATGTTTTAGTGGATCCAGGTAGCTCGGCGAACATAATCAGATCGAGGGTCATGAAACAACTCAGTTTGTAAGATCAGATTGTACATGCGTCTCGGGTGCTAAATGGCTTCAATATGGCAAGTGAAACGATGAAGGGAGAAATTATCTTGCCTGTAAACGTAGTCGGGACCATATAAGACACTAGATTCCATGTCATCGAAGGTTACATGAGGTATAAAGCACTCATTGGGAGACCGTGGATACACAATATGAGGGCAGTGCCTTTGACTCTCCATCAGATGGTGAAGTTCCCGACAGAGAAAGGAGTGAAAACAGTCCACGAAGAACAGCATGCTGCAAAAGAGATGTTCGCAATCGAGGAAGTGGTGCCGATACCGGAACCCTTGACTTCGTAGACATCGACCTCAAAGGGTAAGCAGGTGGCAAAGTAGTAGTCACAACTCCGAAAAGGAATTCTCCAGATCCTCGAACCCTCGCTATTTCCGGAAAGCCTGATGATACCAAGCCAACCGCTGAAAGGAAAGGTACACCTGAGAATGGGAAGTAGTCCCCGCTCTCAAGAAAATAATCATTTAGTTTCTTGATTAATGATATAGATTACATTGCTTCGATTTGACAGGGATTCCGCTCGATAGATAAATAGGTAAAATAATTAAATCTTATATTGATGATATGACTAATTAAGTCCATGTGCGCAGAGGACCACTCTAATTCATTTGCAGGAAACAATCAACATTTCGGGGCAATACAACACAAAGCTCATTCTAGAAAAGCGTTCCCTCAGAGCTAGGGCGACTGAGCTTCTCGGCCTTCGCGGCATCAAATCAGGGCACCAAAGTCATCCCTGATCAGGCCAAGGTCCTCGGAGATATCATGGCCACGAACAACAAGACCTCGAAGTCACTGGTACAGGAACTTACAAGCTCGGCACAGTGGAGTCTCTCAAAGACTCGTGCTCTCGAGAACGCCCCTTCCTACAAGAAGGCCGCAGGTTATAGAGCATATGTTGCACTCTTTTTCTCTTAGTTCGGATTTTGTCCCAACTGGGTTTTACTGGCAAGGTTTTTAATGAGGCAATACCTATATGCTACCCAAAGAACGACCGACAAGTATTCAAGGTTTCTTTTCAATCAACCTCGAATACTGGGGGCATCACCCTCGGAGGTCACATTTTTGGGAAAAATATTTCACGCCTAAATGGGCCTCGATAGGAAAACTTTGTAATGGGCCAAACGGTCAAACAATCCATGTCTATATAGAATAGTCGAGCCCTGGCAGCTAAACATGTACGCATGTATCGACTATTCGAAGAAACATTTAGGTTATATCAAAAATACTTTGTGTCTCGTACAAGCTCTACACTTACAATCCTACGGGAAACGGCTTAAAAACCAAACATAGAAGCACCCGAATACTCGAGGATTGCCATCGAAATTCGAATTAATAAGACCTCAAAGAGGCACCCGAAATTCGAATTAACAGACCTCAAAGAGGCACCCTTTCGAAACAAAGGCCAATACCAATACTCTCGGGGTTTTAATTTCTCGAACAAGTTCGGGAAGTTATCAGGGAACAAGTCCAAATGACATGCCCAAGGCTACGACCATACAAAAGACTACGATCATATAAAGGCTACAGCCAAATAATGTGGCTCGGAGACGTCCGACTTCCGCTATAAATTAAAAGGCCTTCAAACACTTCATAAAAAACGGTTAAATCAGGCTACCCTCGGCAAAAGCTAAATACAAAGGGCTTCGATAAATTCAGCCCTCGAAAATTCCAAGGGCTTTGATAACATCGACCCTTGGAAGCACCTTAAGAGGTGTTCGATTACGTTTACACAAACAAATCACCAATAAGGTTCCAATACACGAGACCTTCGAAAAACCTAGGGGTACAAAAAACACATGCCAATGCATAATTAAAATTTTCACTAAGTCTTTTAAGCCGAAATGAGAGAAAAATTATATAGCCATACTAAGAGGCCGAATCAGCCAACTTAAAGAGCTTGAGGGACAACTTAAAGAGCCTAAGGGCCAACTTAAAGAGCCTAATGGGCCAACTTAAAGAGCTTAAGGGCCGAGATATAAAAGCCTAAGGTCCATAGAGCCTAAGGGCCGAGATATAAGAGCCTAGGGGACAATCTAAATAGAGCCTAAGGGCCGATGTATAAGAGCCCGAGGGCCAACTTCGAAAAGCTTGAGAGCCAGAAACTTATAACTCGAATCTCCGACCCGAACTCAAGGATTCACAATATCCCGGGCTTACCTTGGAACAATTTAAAAACTTAGCTCGAAGATTATTATATCTATCAATAAAAATCTAAAGGTTTATGACACCCCGAGCCCTAAAGACCAATAGTCAGATTGGTCATTCAAACGAAGTCTTCCATAAATAAAGGCAATGTTAAATCCATCTCAAACCAAATACAAGACAAAAGTTCCCCTTGTATTTCCATAAGATGATTACAGGGAATATTTACACAAATGGG